GGGGGGGGAAAAAGGAAAAAAAAAAGGGGGGGGGGGGGGGAAAAAGGGGGGGGGGGGGGGGGGGGGGGGGGGGGGGGGGGGGGGGGGGGGGGGGGGGGGGGGGGGGGGGAGGGGGGGGAAGGGGGGGGGGAACGGGGGGGGGGGGGGGGGGCACGCTGTACCGGGGAAATATCTCTGCCTTCCTTCAGGAGGAAACGGTTCACCTCGGAGCCGTTCTTTCAGAGGCGGTGCTATCATTCCATGCACTTCTCTCTCGGGAGGGGAGGGGGACTCGCTATTGTGGCTTGCCCAGGAATGCTTTACAGTCGGCCGCGACATGTCTTCTCGGTTCTACCGGTGCGCCGTTCTCAACAGACGGTGAGCTTATACAAAAACGTTCGCAACAGCAGCGGTTGCATGTTTAGGGGACCTTTACCTAACCCCAATATATCACGGTTGGTGTGAGGTCAGTGAACATCGTCCGCGGATAGTTTCTAAGCTAGGCTAGCGTGCACTTGGATCGTGCTGTACAGCTCGATGTTGTGTATCCCGACACAGAGACCACCCATGGAAACCACCAGTTCGACCAAAAGGTAAGCGCCACAGGACATGCTGTTACTGGACGGCGTACAGATAGCGCCCGCACTCAAAAACCTCTAGTTTTGGCTGAGGCTGGGGTTCTTACAGTAGTTCCTCTTGTGGGCTACAAATAGCTCTTTATATTGGTATTAGTGTAGGGGTTCTCAGTTCCTCTTGTGGGCTACAATGGCCGCTACAATATGTATATAGGTTTTAGTGTAGGGGTTCTTAACCGGGCTCACAGATATAATGGTGCTCAAGTTCTCGCGCTTGATGTAATGTTGAAGTAAAGTTCTTGAGTGTGGGTGCTACGTATCTGTACACACGATTGTGCTTTTTAGCTTTTTAGGACGGACCTTTGTGGGAGACCTGCAGGCGAGCACGACGCGCGCGCCCCGCTGCGCCAGCGCTGTAGCGGTAGCCTTCCCAATGCCTGCGTTCGCTCCAGTGACTATGCAAACCCTTCCGGACATGGTGGTGTTGCTGCTGGTAGGCAACGGTTGTCTGCCGAGGGAAGAGGGAAGCAAAGGGCATCGTCATGACGGTAAATTCTTGTTTCGGGTTAAGCCGATCCTGTCGTTCCTATGCAACGGCGGTGTCACTTCCTCCGCCTTCGTTGTTGATATATATTGCGTGCCCAAAACTGAAAATTACAAAATACCCAAAACCAAACACACTTACTGTAACATTTACTGTGCATGCAGCTCATGTGCCAGGCATATGGCTATCTGTGAAATTTCGGGCGGGTTGTTAGGGTTAGGGTTGTGGCGGTAGGGTCTACCCCTTGCCTCTATGTACACTTTTGTGCACAGCAGCGGCGTTGCGATGTCTACTGTATACGGGTGAGCGACGAACACAAAGCGGGGGTTGACCATCACTGAATGTTTGCTGCCGGAATACTTTGATCACAAACATCTCCGAGGGCGGGGCGCAGGGGGCAGGGCGGCAGGGAAGAGGTTCACAGGGAGGACTAGTCTACTGCTGCAATCTCCGCAACTGCTGGTAGAGACGTGTCTAGACTAGACTGCAACACAGCAGTACACAGAGTTTCAACCGTCGCATAGGCTATGTATGTCTACCGCCGAGGAAAGTCTCTGAGGCTATGTTTGTAAACGTCATCGTGGCATGGTGATGTTAATAAGCCCTTCTGCATTGCTGCCGAGGCCTCTCATGTTTCTGACACGCACGGGTCGAGACGCCATCATGCTACCAAGACGCTAAATACGCGAAGAAAGCGACGCCATAACTCACCTGTTACGCCACCAGAGCCATGCACCGACTGCCCCCGCCAACAGCAACGGGTAGAGGTGGTCTCCTCCGCCCCATGGCTTTGGCTGTTTCTCTTCAGGCATCAGGGTGAAGAGTGAGGCACAGCAGTGAGGGAGAAGAGAGGCCAGGAATCAGCCGCAAAGTGGCCAAGCGGCCTGGTGGAGAGGGATCAAGCGGGGCGAGCTCCTAACACGGGACTGTGGGAACTTCCTCCAATCAACTGGTTTTTTCAAACAGGGTGTTTGTGTTTCCCCGCTTTCGCCGCCTTGTTGCCGCATCGCCCCACTATTTACACACTTTGCTGTACAGCAGTAAGCTGTGTTGCCTTTCCCATACACAGCGGGCGAGAAACCGGACGACGGATCTCCCGTTGCCTGGAGGTATATACTGCTGCACGCAGCAGCACTGCTGTCTTACGGCTGTGTCTGTTGACCCCTGTGACAGCTCAGCATGGCTGCTGCCGAGACGACTGCTGCTCTCCCAGAGTTCACCACGACGGTGCTTCCTTCCAATGGCCAGGTGTGTTTTCAGTTCTCCCAGGTTGCGCACTGCACACAAGCACACAGCAGTGTCGCTCAAGGCGATGGCGTTGCCAACTCGACAAGCATGCGGCAGGCCTGGCAGCGGCGATGATTGCAGTGTGCAGGGTAGTCATACATACGTCAGGAGTGATTGACTTCTGACTCCCTGACGTTCGTCAAGAGCAACGGCGGGAGGGTGGGAGAGCAGCAACCGCTTGCTTGATTCCACTCCTTCGTGGTCCCACACATTCATCATTGGCTTCACGAACGCTAACGAGTGCTGGTGAAGGACGTTGCTACGAAGCATCGTTTGTTTAGATGTCTTGGGGGCTTTTTTCTGCATGATCTGCGTAACTGCTGTGCTGTGGACATATACATGATCATTCCCGTTCTATTGCTGTAGACTAGACTTCGTTCCATGTTCCATGATTTTTACAATGTTGTTCCTAATACAAGGCGTCCCTCCGGAGTGGGGTAAAGAGAGCACCGCGGCAAGGGGTGATGCAAGAACATGCAAAACGCTACCACAGCAGAGAAACGACAGCAGTAAATACGAACGCATAGATTCATATCAAAGGATTCGCGGCAGGTCGGCGGTTTTCTGGATTTTGTTTGGTTGAAAGCCCGCAGCCGCACGGATGGATGAGTATATGTGCATGCCGACCTCCCGACCTCTGGCTCGGCAGTCTGTACGGGGATGTGTGCACTGCTCTGCATCTCTGCTGACACCGCCACGAGCTTTTTCATCGATACTCTTAAAGAGATTCCTCTGGAGGATTTTTGCTGCAAAAAGAAGTAGTTTCTGGATTTTTTGGGTTGAAAGCCCGCAGCCGATCGGATGGATGTGAAATATGTGCATTGCATGTGCCGGCGTGCCGGCCTCCTGACGTCGGGCTCGGTGGTCTGCACGGAGATGTGTGCACTGCTCAGCATCTCTGCTAACACTGCTACGACATATACATTGCTCTACTGCTGCTGGAAACTACATACATACTTGGGGCTGACTGTGTGTAGTCAGTCGGACTCAATCATGGCCTCATGGCCATCATCAGAAGAACGACGAATTGATTGAGCGGTGTCATCAAGCCGTGCTTCTCTGTTTTTCTCCACGCACACACACACACACACCTTCGAAAGGGCAACGAAGAACAAACTATGTATACATGTGGGTTTCCAGCGTGCGAACAGTATCAGGTAGTGACCGTAGCATCGTAATGTCTCGAGAATCCGGTGGGGATGAGGCGAGATGATGAGACAGACAGCAGTCCAGAACATCTCCCCCGTATGACAGGTATGACAGACCTGAACCAGTGTTGAATATTGGTCGGGCAGAAGGGTTCGATACAATACGCCAATCGTATCGAGAAAAAAACACAAATACCGAATTTTGTTCGATATCCCGAAAATGGCTCGATACGTATCGAGTATCGATACTCGATATCGATACGGCTGTTTTGAAACCCTCAGGTTACAAGAAGAGCGAGCGTTACGCAACTGCACGTACCCTGGCACACCCAAACCCTTATCTGAAGTATACAGCAGTGCGCAAGACGTGCGCGCATGGCCCGGCGGCATGGAAGTAGTGGTGTTTGCCAGGTGCCAGGTGTGTGCAGTTAGTTGAACATCACGAGCACAACAACAACAGCGGGCACACGTTGTGATGTGATGTTGCGCATACAAAACTGCATCGTGCAAGAGGCAGGAGTTGGTTGTGTAGCTATGTCCACCAGATATTTATCTTACTACCTTCAAAGTTATGCATGCAAAATTCCACCCACCAGTTGTGGGTGCCCAACAATCAGCAATGCACCTCGAGCGAGTATCAACTCTAGACACTCAACAGCCAAAAGGAAACAAAAGAAAAAACATGGCGAAAACATTATGTGCGAAAATCAAACGCTTGCCAAACTTGAACACGACATCACCTACCTCTATTCATCACACGCCCAAGTGGTCGGACATGAAATCTAGCACACCTTGCCATTACGTATTACAAGTCCCAAAACCAAGTTCACACAGCATAAATTGTCCGCAGGAGGTACGGCCTCTGTTCGCACTAATGTAGTAGTTCTACTGCTGAAACTGCGGGAAACGCCAAATCTACGTAAGGAGGCAAGCAGATCACCGGTCGCCCCGGTGGTCTAGTTGGTAGCCTCGTAACCTTCTAGAGGTCAGGTCAGGGGTTCGAATCCCGGCGTAGGCGAGCTTTTTCTTGCAAAGTGAGTTTTTCTCTCGCTTCCGCTCCTAGCCAAGTGGATAGCGCTAGTTCGTGTGTACACAGAGGGAAGAGAGTGCTGAACTCTTCTCGCATTAAAAATCGAAGGCAAAGTACCGCAGGAGGGGAGGGTAGAGAGAGGCTCTTCTGTGTGACCACGGGTTGGAATAGACGGCACTAGTGCTGTGAGCGCTGATTTGAAGTGAAGAACAAAAAAAAAAAAAAAGCTGACTCTAAAATAACGGGGATGACTGCTACTCATTCGGCAGAGGCAGCGCTATCGCCGGCGACAAAGCCGAATTCTTGAAGGCTCATGTTGCACACCGATGTGGGTCTCAGGAGCTGAGACACAGGCGCTGTTGGTGTGGTGTGTGGCTGGCAGGGGCTGGTGTGTGTGTGGTGTGTGGTTGTGATGGCAGTGGGGGGCGACAGGAGTAAGCGCGTAGGCTCCTCCGGGGAGCGAAAAAAGGGGGTAGACAGCTGGGAAACTGACCCCCCCCGGTAAAAAGGGGGCCAAAATATCGAGTATCGAGTACCGATATCGATACCGATACCGATTCGTATCGACAAATATCGGCGTGGAAACCGGCAATACCGACTGCGTATCGTCGATATATATCAGTTTTGTATCGATATTCGATACCCAATATCCAACACTGACCTGAACAGAAAAAAGAAAGGAAAACGAGTTGGAATGCTTCGGTTTGTACCGCCTTTCTGCATGTACGCTGGGAACGCTACTGCTGCTGTATTCTCTTTTCCCCACACGTATACATACGCGCTCGCTCCACAGCCGCTCTCAGATCTGACAGCTGCCGCGCCAACGCTCCACTGATGTTGTTGGCATGTTGTGTTGACACAGGGTTCAACATCAGATCAGAAACAGTTTGTCACCGCGTACGTTTTTGGTTGAAGCTGACGTCTTCTGTCGGGCTGTTCGACACGACAGCCCGACTCTACCCGACAGCTGACGCGACAGATGGACAGAATCATTGCGTGGTCTTCTTACAGCCACAGGAAAAATCTGGAGACTGTGAGGAAGACTTTACAAATCTATATATAGTCTTATGTTTAAAAAACCAGCAAGCTGTCAATAGACACTGCGCCGTGTCCCCTGTGAAGGTTACATTTTACAATACACGACACAACGGAGGGATTCTCCCCGATATTTTGTCGTTGACCCAGTAGAGAACTACAGGGGATGTATTGTAAAATGTAAGTTACCTGCAGATGTTTTTGTACTTAGCACCAGCTGGCATCACTGGTATAAATCATCAGTGTATAGACTTAAAAGACTCGAAATAGGTCCAGTACCCAGCCGGTTTCCCTCCACTCACTGAAAAGACTCCACCACATCCCGTTCGACTGTGGGTATATCTCGAATGGGTGGTCTTTCTGTGTGTGTTTTTATTATTCCTTGATTCCCGCTCTGGCATGCGGGTTGATTTCGTCAAAATGCGGATGACACGCCTTCTATGCATACCTTCTATGCACGATATTTTTGACGTCACTAAGGGTGACCTATTTCAGACCGACGGAAGGGGTTGGACCTTCTCTCGACTGTGTGACCAGAGGAGACTTCCGGAGCGACGGTGGGGAGCCGCCAGTGCACAGACTTGCGGGACAGGAGTAGTTCTCTAGGAAGAGCCAACGGTGTGGTCTCTGGGAAGATAGGGAAAGAAGAAGAGTGACAGAGGAGGGGTGAAGAGGGGTGTGCACAGCACACCACTTCCGCAGCCCTGATGACGCAGAACCGACCCGACTAGGCGGTGACACAGATACAGTCTGTGCTGGCGTGCTGACGTGGTACAGCACTGAAACGCTACCGGAGAATCTCCCCGGGCGTGAGACGACAAACAACCATCTGGGCGGTTGAGTGTATATATGTGGTACGCGGGCATGTGCATACAGTGACATACGGGTGCGCGCGGACCGCACGGAAAGATCCGCAGAGCAAGCGGAGGAACAGTTGGACAGGGGACCTCGAGTAGGACGTACGTACAGCTGATAAAAAAAATCAGTGTACAGCAGTATAGGCTTAGGCGTAGACCCTAAGAAAGCCTAGTATCCAGCCGGTGTTCACTGCGAAGACCTCAACACATCCCCTTCGACTTTAGTTATATCTCGAATGGTAGTCTTTCTTTATACAGTAGTGGTCCCGATATAGTGGCATGTAGTGGCAAGAGAAAATCATGCCACTATTCAGGGCAATGCCACTATTCGATATAGTGGCAATAATGCCACTTTTGCAATGTCAATGGTCAATAGTCAATACTGGCATTATTGCTACTATATCGGAGAATAAGCTTTGATGCTTACGCTACGGACAGTCGTTCCTTGAATCTTCACTCGTCGTATGCGTTGTGTGACGAGATGTGACGATCTCTGACGCGGGTT